GCATGGAGAACCCTTGATGAGGACTGTGACCTACAGCTTTTTTGGCCATTTAGTGCGGACTTGGCCAATTGAGGTGTAGTAGGTGACTCTGGTGTCGCCCTCTGGGTGCCCTGGTGGCTTCTGCCATGCCCCTTGGTTGGGCCTTTGATGGCGGTTGGATTGGCTTCTTGGCTGCCAGGTTGTCGTGGGGTGCTCGCTTCTGCAAACTTTGGCGATGTGCCCCTTTTGCTCACAGCACTGGCAGGTAGCATCGTGGAAATGGCAACCCAATCGGGCATGGTCTCCTCTGCAGCTAGCGCAAGGTGGGAAACGTTGTTCAAATTTGCGCACCAGCTTGGTGTGGCTACTGCGCATGTGGCAGCTGTCATCTTCTTTGCCTTCTGGGCTCTCAGCCTCTGCAGCCTTGCGATGAACGCATGTGTTCTTTTGTGCATCTTGTAGAGTGCTTTGGCGCTGCAGGGTTTCTGTTGACTTGATGGTCGATTCTGATGGCCTGGCTTCGTCCAAGGCAATTTGTAGAGTGAGGTTAGATTTGGCGAGTAACCTCCTCTGTAAATTAATGTCTTGCACACCACATATGATGCTGTCAAGAATAAGCTTGTCAAGGTCTCGGAACTCGCAGTACACTGCAGCCTTTCGTAGTGAATCAACGTTCTCATTGATAGATTCCCCCTCCTTCTGGTTACGAATATTACATTTGTGCTGGCGGACGTGCTTAGACAGCTTGGGAGCTTAGTTAGTCCTCAGCATCTGCTGGAGCGTGGACCAAGCGACCGATTGTAGCGGCATTGGTTCTAACAGGTCTTTGGCAGTTTTGAACACTTCCCGTCCACAGTAACCAAGGAACATGTTTTCTTGCGGCCCTCAGAAAAGCCCATGAGGTCATTGGCTTCGAGGAAGCAGTCAAACCTCAGCATATACGAGTCCCAGTGCTCGGTGACTGGGTCATACAGAGTCGGTGGGACGTGCATGGCCATTTTGTGTTCAGAGGGCATTTTGAGTTTGCCGCCCAAAAATGGCTGCTCGAAGCCATGCTGAGCTCCAG